CCATCTACGGTGTTTTGTATCTGAGGAAAGAAACTCTGAAATGATAAATCTCAGCACTAGCTATACCAGCTGCCCATCTTCTCTCTGGAGAATTGAGAGAAGGACCTTAGCTTTCACAAATAAACGCATTTTCTCCGAGGAGATGAGAGTCCATGGGCTTATTATCCATAGAATGTAAACAGATGATTCCAGGGAAGCAGTTTCATTCTCTAAGGAAATCTCTGACTTTCAAGGCTTGTTTTTCATTCCAACGTCCTTTAGCCTAGAGGTCGGTATTTTTTTTTCTCTTTTCTTTTTCTTTTTTTTCTTTTTAATTTCATAGGAAGAGGGGGACTCTGAAAGTCATAACATGCTTACATATGAGCATGTTCTTAGAATATTAGTTCCTAGCTATTACCAGAGGTGCTAGATTCTGAAGCCGACTTGGATAATTAGATTAGGGTCTCATCTAGAATCTCATGATGTGTAGTCCCAAGTGGGACAGTTCTAGGAGAAAGTCCCTCTGACCCCTAAGCACAATGGCCGTGTCAGTCACATGTTACAGCATCCATATCTAACTGCCCCGGGCCAGCTGTGGAATATAGAGCAAGACACAGCCCCTCTACGTCTCCACTGTGTTAGTGGAGCTCGGAGATGCTTGAAGCTTGAAGCACATAATCGCTATTCATCCTTGGGGTTTTTTGTCCCAGACAGAATTAATAATTTCCTTTTACCTGTTCCCACAACAAATTGTTCTATTGGTTAGAGCATTTTTATTACACTTAGTTATATTCTAGTTTTCCTCAATGGAATAAAATTAACTGAGGAGAGTCACTAGTTTTTGAATACTTAGAGTGAATTCTGTTAAGTGTAAGAAGTTAGAAGAAAAAAAAAATAAGTTAAAAGAAAAAGAACACATCTTCAACAAATTTTATTGTTAATGGCAGTTGACTTGATTCTGACTCTTGACAGTTTCATGTGAAATAATTAAACGTTGCCCGACCTGTGCCATCTTCAAGGTTTCTGGTATGTTTGAGGCCACTGTTACGGTGTGTTTTAAGTTCCTTCCAAACTAGGTTACTCAAGTTCTAAATCTATATATAACAATATACTATTGTGGGCCATAGGGTGTTTTAATGGCTAATTTTTAAAAATTATTTTGGATCACCTTTCTTTGGAATGGATATAGATAATCTCTTCTGCTTGGTTGGCCTAAGAGCAAACTATAAAATAGATCTTTACAGTTACATCAGTTATTTTAGAGGTAAACTTATTTAAAAGAACTAATAATATGTAATTCACAGTTTACTAACCTTAGAATTTCACATATGCGTTTAAATAATTTATATTCAACTAGATATAATTAATTTCAATTTGGGGAAATTGGTCAAGTGTCAAAATTAATTATCTCTTGAATTTATAAACTATTTTACCTAGAATTTCACAATAACATTTAGAATCATTTAGGGGAGCTCTGGTGGTCTAGTGGAAAGGAGCTGTACTGTAATCCTGAAGGCACACCTTTGAGGCCACCAGCTCTTTCTTGAGAAAAGGATGGGCAGTCTCCTCCCATGTAATTAAATGCTTCTGAAAACCCTCCTAGGCTATGAGTCGGTTCTGACTCTACTAACTCTACTGTACACAACAACAACATAGTATTGACTGTTGTTATTGTTGTTACGTGCCATCGAGTCACCTGCAACTCAAAATGACCCTATGTACAACAGCCCTAAACCCTGCTCTATCTCATGCCAGTCTTACTGTCTCTGACACGTCCATCCCCATTACTCCAGTCATTGAATCAATCCATCTCATCGAGGATCTTACTTTCCTGTGATGTCCCTCTGCCCTCTCAAGCATGACTTCCTCCTCCAATGACTGAGTCCCCCCTTGCAACATGTCCAAAGTATGTCAGACAAAGCTTCAGAATCCGTGCCTCCAAGGAGCGGCCTGGCTTCACCGTCTCCAGGATGAAATTGTTTGTTCCCCATGATATATTCAGTACTCCTCTCCAGCACCACAGCTCAAAGGCATCAATCCTCTTTCTATTATCCCTAGTCACTGTCCAGCTTTCTGATGCCTAGAAAGTAATTGCAAAGACTATGGCCTGCATCAGGTTCACCTTAGTCTCCAGACCGACATCGTTGCTCTTCAGTACTTTGGAGAGAGGTCTCTGACAGCAGATTTTCCTAATGCAATTCTTCTTTTCATTTCCTGGCTGCTGGTACAAAGTGTGTTGATTGTAGAACCAAGCAAATTGAAGCTATTAACAATCTCAATCTCTTCACCATCTATCATGATGCTGCTAATCAGCCCAGTGGTGAGAATCTTTGTTTTCTTGATGTTGAGCTTTAATCCATATTGAAGGCTGCAGTCCTTGACCTTCTACAGCAAGCACTTCAAGTCCTCCTCAGTTTCAGCAAGCAGGGTTGTGTCATCTGCATAATCAGATTGTTGATGAGTCAACTTCCAATTCTGATGTCACATTTCTCCTCATAAAGCCCAGCCTCCCCCCAGATAATCTGTCTGAATATAGATTGAGAAGATAGGACACATCCTTGGCGCACACCCTTCACAGATTTGAACCATGCAGTGTTTCCTTGCTCTCTTCTGATGACAGCCTCCTACTCTACTTTTTTTTTTTTTATCAGCTTTCTCTTAGATAAGATAGATAAGATTTCAGGGAAGGTACAAACAGTGTGCTAGACTTCCTCATTACCTTGGAGTTAATTAAAATTTTAGAAATTCACAATTTTGCCACAGAATCTGAAGGTTATTATTTTTTACTGTGTTTAATGTGTTCATTTTGGGAAAAAACATGACTTTATTTATCTTCCTCATAAATCCATCTTTATTTATTTATTTTGTAATTACTTAATAATCCTCAATTTTCTTAATTAATTCTCATAGCCCAGATTATTTCTGTCTACTATATATTTTATCTTGGGAGCCCTGGGGGCCTTGTGTGTAAAGAGTTGCACTGGCAGGTAATTTGAATCCACTAGTTGCTCCATGGAAGAGAACAATCTCCTCCTGAGTGATTCACAGCCTCTGAAAACCCTCTGGAGTGTCAGTTATGAGTCGATTCTGACTTGATGGCACACAACCACAACATCATGTTTTGGAAATAGATCATCAGACCTTTATTCCTAATCTGGAACACACACACACACACACACACACAAAAAGTTCCCCTGCAATCGCACCATAATGGATAAGCTTTGCTGGCATTTGTAAAACTAGGAACATACCTGTCAGAGTCAGAGTAACACTGGAGGTAACCACCCCAACCAAATGGCAGATGAGTGATGGTCAACATCCTTGTGTTTGGTATTTTGTACATTTGCCATATTATAAATTAAATTTTAAAAAGAAACAGAAATGTGGAATTAACCATCACCAGAGGGAGGATCTTCTGCCCTTAAGCAGGTGTGTCTTTCAAAAGTTACATAAGAAAAGGCTTTCTCCTTGAAGGAAAAAGATGGAGCAATGTGGTGAAAACAAGCAGAGGGAACTAAGGAGTGTTTTGTCTCCAAACCTCTACTCTGGTACTTGTCACAATGAACAAGAAAAGCATCTTAACTCTTTTTCTGCATCTTTAGTCATTAACTATTTTGTGCTGAAGTTATGCGTGGGAAGGTACAAGCACAGTTATCAGTGTTTAAAAATAGAAAATTGTTTCCCTCTAATGCAAACTTGATTGTTTCAAATTGTCAGTCAAGCAAGACTCTCAGTGTGGAATAATTTCAAGAGCTTATAATGTATTTTTCTCCCCAGGGAACTGAAAAAAAAAAATCTATCTACTAGTTTCAAGGAGAATTAACTGATTAATATTTCTAAAAGTTTATTATACAACATTGAAAGAATGACAGGATTCTAAAAGGGATCATATAGAACTAGATTTTTTTTGTTTTATTCTTCTGATGAGATCATTAGGAAAATTAGTTTGTTATCTAGGCTTTTTATCATGATAGACATGAATAAGGAGAAAACCCTTTTGAACTGTGTGTCCCCCAAAACTATGTGTTGTTAAGTCCTAACTTGTGTGCTTGTGGCTATAATCCCACCTGGGAAGGGATTGTCTCTGTTGTGTTCATTAAATAGGATTGTTGTTGTTATGTGCCATCGAGTGCAGGATTTATCTTCATCCTCTTTTGAAATGCAAAAAAAATTAAGAAACACACTGACAAGCAGAAATAGAGGAAGAATGATCTCACTGTTGCAGTCGCTATGTCAGTCCATCTTGTAGGGGGTCTCCCTCTCTTTCTGTGACCCTCCAAGTTTCCCAGCATGCTGTCTTTTTCCAAGGACTGACACCCCCCTTTCAAGAGGTCCAAAGCCTGACACGAAGGTTCACCATCCTGGACTCTAGGGAGCACCCTGGTTGCACTTCCTCTTTATGTTGGAAATAAAGTTATTGGGTAAAAAATTTTAAGTTTCCTCTGTTATCATGATATAACCTCTTTCCCATTGTAAAAGATAATGTTTTTATTTCCCTACATATTAAAAAATACTGCTTTTTCCTTTCTTTAAATGCCATTGGGATCTCGAAGAAGACAGTAATCCATGTATTAACACATAGTAGAAACTCTAGGGAGCTTTGGTGGCCTCGTGGCAAGAAGCTGCACTGCAATCCCAGAGGCACACAGTTCAAATCCATCAGATGCTCTGCTGGAGAAGGAGGGAAGGAGGGGCAATCTCCTCCTGTACCACTCAGATCTGATTTGACGGTACATGCACAAAATAAAAAACAAACAAACAAAAAACCACATAGTAGAAACTCAAGCACAGTGCAGGAAAGCTATGTTCATTAGGTTCATAAATTGGAAAGTATTTTAATAACATTTTCTTTATTAGTAGGTTAATATTCTTCCACTGTCATGGAGGACATCAGCTTCCGGGCAATAGACCACAAATAGACGAATCAGTTGCTGGGAATATCGGGACAAGCTTCCTCAGGGTTCAGTTTGGTGTATTCATGGATATGTGTTTAGTTCACTGTCTCTCTCTGTTTTCTCCAGTACAGTGCTCTTAACCCCCGAGAATCCTGGGACATGTGGCATCCCACCCTGGTGGCCGAGGCGTTATTTGCTATTGCAAACATCTTCAGCTCCCTGCGTCTGATCTCGTTGTTTACTGCAAATTCTCACCTGGGACCTTTGCAGATATCTCTGGGAAGAATGCTCCTTGATATTTTGAAGTTTCTATTCATATACTGCCTTGTGCTCCTGGCATTTGCAAATGGACTCAATCAATTGTATTTCTACTACGAGGAAACAAAAGGCTTAAGCTGCAAGGGCATACGCTGTGAAAAACAGAATAATGCATTTTCAACGTAAGTCAAGGAGACATTTGTATCTGTTTCTCTGTGTAAAACCCACCCTATGAATTTGAAACCCCCCCAACAAGTGATTGGAAAGAAAATATGAAAATAAAATTATACTTAATACAGAACCAAAATTAATATGAGATTAAAAAGAGATTAATCCTTTTGACATTAAAAATATTCAACTCCTCTAAGTTTTAGTTAAATAGTCTTCTATTTTTGTTGATGGATAAGGAAAGCATTACATATTTTTACAATGTGGAATTAAAAACCATATGTACATTAATGTCTTAAAAACCAAATCATTACCAGTTGCTGTTAGATAGATTCAGACTTGATGGTGACCGCATATGTGTGAGAGGATTTTCAATGACTATTTTTTTTTCTTTCATAAATTACCAGGCCATTTTAAAAGGCAACATTTCTTTCAAGCACTTAATACTTGGTTAGTAGCCAAGCCTCTTACGTTTATACCACCCAGGGTCTCCACCTACAAGTTGCAAGCACATCAAAAAGTTAATATCTGTGTAAAACTGGTCATCGATATTTTCTCCAATCTTCTCTCATGTGTTTTCTAGGTACTAAGATTCCCAGTCATCTTCTTGCCCTAATATTGATAAGGAAATATATGTTACAAAGTAATTTCATTATCAGTCCAAGTATGGTAAATATTGTTGTTGTTGTTGTTGTTGTTATGTGCTGTCAAGTCACTTGCAACTCATAGCGACCCTATGTACAACAGCCCTAAACTCTGTTCTGTCCTGTGCCAATCTCATTGTCTCTAACACACTCATCCCGATTACCCCAGTAACTGAATCAATCCATCTCCTAGAGGGCCTTCCCCTCCTGCGCCTTCCATCCCCCCTCCCAAGCCTGATGTCCTTCTCCAAGGACTGGTCTATCCTTACAGCATGACCAAAGCATGTCAGACAAAGCCTCAGGATCCTTGCCTCCAAGGAGCCACCCAGTTTAACCCTCTCCAGAATGAATCTGTTTGTTTTCTTAGCAGTCCATGGTACACTCAAAACTTCTCCAACACCAAAGCTCAAAGGCATCAATTCTCCCTCTATCCTCCCTAGTCGTTGTCCAACACTCTGATGCATAACAAGTGATAACAAAGACCATGGCCTGTATCAGACGCACCTTAGTCTCCAAAGAGACACCGTTGCTCTTCAGTACTTTAGAGAGGTCCCTAACAGCAGACTTTCCCATCGCAATACATCTTTTAATTTCCTGGCTGCTGGTGCCAGGAGTGTGATTGTGGAGCCAAGCAAACTAAAGCTGTGCACAATTTCAATCTCTTCATATATATAAAATATATATTATAAATTTACTCCATTTTATTTATCTGTCAGTTTGTTGTTCTATGTTGGCTTGCATGTAGCTCTGATGATGGGGTGGTGGCACTATGCTTAAAATACAGAGGGGTCACTCATAGGGTGTGGGTTTCCATAGAGTTTCCAGTCCAAGACCAATCAGGGAAGAGGCCAGGCCTCCTACCTCTAAGATAATGGACTGTTAAAAATCCTATAACCAGCATCAGAATGTAGCGCTAGATGAGGTCCTCAGATCGGAAGGCACTCAGAAAAACACAGAGAAGAACTTCCTCTCTGTAGCAGAATCTCGCTGGCTGGCATGGATGGAGAAAAGTTTACAGTCAAGGAACGACCTTCAGTTAGCGAATGTATGAAGTGTGAATCTAGGAAAATGTAAAATTATAAAAAAATTAAATGGAAAGCATAAAGATCAATATCCTAGACCAAAGTGAGCTCAAATGAATTGCCATTGAGAATTTTGAATCCAAGAATAGTCTTTTATGCTGAGAATGACGAAGAATGGAGTTGTAGTCATCATCCAAAGGAAACATATCAAAATCTATTGTGAAATACAGCTGAAAAGAAAGACTAAAATGCCAAAATGGGCATCAGAAATGTCTCTGAAACTTGCTGATTGTAGCAATGGAAGAAATGATGAAGAGACCTGAATAGAAGATTTCAAATGATGGCTTGAGGGGGCAAAGCAAAGAATTATAATGAGATATGCAAAGAAATGGACTAGAAAACCAAGAAGGAACAAGAAGTTTGGCATTTCTCAAGCTGCAAGAACTGAAGAAAATATTAATGCCCTAGATTCCAGTCACCCAGTCTGTGAAGAGGAATGTAGCATCAGAAGAGGAGGAAGACTCATCGATAAGATTTGTTAAGCAGAGGACACAACCTTGTTTGCTGAAGGTGATGAGGATGTGAAACACTTGCTACAGAAGATCACACAATGCACTTTCAATAAAGAGTGCATCTCAATGTCAAGAAAACAAAAGTTCTCACCACTGGACCTGCAGGCCACATTATAATAGATAAGGGGAGGGGGGGAACTGAAACTGTCAACTTCATCTTACTTGGATTTACAATCAACATACTTGGTACCAGAAGTCAGGAAATCTAGAGATATATTGCATTGGAAAAATATGCAGTGAGGGGCCTCTCTAAATTACTGAGGACAAATTGTTAGTCTGAGGGCTAAGGTGCACCTGCCTCAGTCTTTTCAATCACTTGCTACGCTGCTGAGAGCTAGACAATGAATAAGGATGACAGAAGAAAAATTGATGCCTTTGAGTGATGGTGTTGGAGAAGAGCCCTGAACATCCCATGAACGGATACATCTTGGAGAAGGTGAAGCCCGAATGCTCCTCGAAGACAAAGTTGGCAGAGTCTTGTCTCACATCCTTTGGGCCTGTTGCTAGGAGAGGCTATTCTTGGAGAGGGACGTCATGCAGTTACTTGCCAGATAAGACAGACCATTACATTTCTGGCTACTAACCAGAAGGTTGGAAGTTTGAACTCACCCAGAAGTGCTTAGGAAGAAAGACCTGGGAATCTATGTCTGAAAGTCAACCATTGTGAACCGGAGGAAGCACAGTTCTACCCTAACGCAGGATGGTCTCCATGAGCCAGAATCAGCTTCATGAAAGCTGGTTTGTTGTTCTTTTAATACTTGTTTGGGCTTAATTTTGGTTTATTTGTTTTCTTTTTAGTTTAAGTGTTTGTGCGTGTGTGTGTCTTTGTGTACTGTCTTGTCAAGTCAGAACCAACGTAGAGCTGACCCTCTGGTGAGTTTTCTTTTCTTTTTTTTTAAATTTTGTTTTAATGAAAGTTTAGAGAGACTAAATTTCCATTTATTCATTGTTGCACTTTTCTCCCTGCTCCCCCTCCCCCACAATTCACTTGTCTTCTAAAAAGTAAAAGAAAAAATTCTTTCATTGTTATACAATCCCTCCCCCCACGTCCACTCCACTATGCTACCTTCGTTCTGGACTCCTATCATAACAATAATATCTAATCCTATGTCCCTTTTAAACAGTTCTCTCCCTCATCTGTTTCAATGCAGTATACATCTTTTATCCCATCTTGCTCAGTCTCCTCTCAACCCCTATGTCAGTCCTCTTTTGTAACAGTGGCATTATGCCATATTTGTCTTTTTGTGACTGAGATATTTCACTCAGCATAATGTCCTCCAGGGTCACTCATTTTGTGAAATATTTCATGAGTTCCTTGTTTTTCAATGCAGCATCGTATTCCATTGTGTGACTATACCACAGCTTCTCTATGGAAGCAGATTACCCCTCAGCATATGAATAAATATGTTGAGTGGTTTTCCTATATAGTGACCCCAATGTGAAAAGATAGTTGTTTTGTAGTTGGCTTTGGAAGCCAGGTCTCTGTGGAAGGCCTCTTAGAATGTGATGTGATGTCAGGGAAAACAGTAACTCCTCAGATTGCAGGGAATCAGTAATTTTACATAAGTGAAACTGCTTAGCGAAAAATCCTCTTGTTTTGATTTAGAATCTCTTTTCATTTTTATCTAATATGTAGACACCATTTTCATTAATCAAAATCTGTTTTTCATAACATAATTACAAACTAACATTATCTACTCTAAGACCTTGACATCTTTCCTCCTCAGTTGTTTTGTCAATTATGAGGCAGCTTGACTTTGGGGAATTTTATCATTCTTTTTAGGAAAATAATTACAATGTGGTCTTTTGTAACTGTTTACTAAGGAGGACAACTTGTATTTGTATAACATTATACTATGGTCTGATAAGGTTTGCTAAAAACAAACGAGTCTCCGTTTCAATCCTTTCCATTTAGTTTAGATCTTCCTCATCTGATGCTACTTCTTTTTTTCTTTTTTTAATTAAATTTTATTAATTTTAATGAACATTTACAAAGATTTTGGATTCCCATTCATTCATTGTTGCACTATTTTCTGTACCCTCCCCGAGTTCGTTCCTCTTTTTTCCCCCCTTGAAAGTCTGTTGTATTTGTCCAGTTGCCACAGTGCTTGTCAAAACCAGTTCTGATTAATCTCCTTTGTCAGTGTGTCCCTTGCCATTCCCTATCACTCCTCCCTGAGAGAGACTTCACCCTGATTCATAAGGAAAAGGGGATGGCATATCCTCTTAGCTACTTCCTGCTGAAAAGGGACGCTGTAGGTTTCAGGGTGAAGATCTTCTCTCACTACTCTAAAGGGTTCCCTTGGCAGTAGGAAACACATAGACTATTGTGGAGATTGATTTTGGAATTTAGATGCACTTTTATCAATTGTGCTTAGCCTTACATGTTCATATCCTTGAAGATGTATCATGGAAGTGTTGCAGCCTAGAAGATACAAATTTAACTAACAAGTTAAAAGTACATGAGCTGATGCTACTTCTTAAAGTAAGATAAAGAGAGTTTACTTTTAATAAAATCTCAGGAATTAGGGTATTTGCTGGAATTTACAAAATTTTCCCAGTAAAAAAAAAAGTGTTAACATTTTTTGGTCTACTTTGTCATCTTATGGGATTGACTATATGCAATTTTAATTGAAGATGTCAAAAGCCACAGTGCTTTGGCATTGCTGTCAATCCTCCCTTTGTAACTTTTAAAGGGTGACAGAGCCCTTAGAGATCAAGAACAAGAACAACAACAAACCGAAAAGCCCCAGTGTGAAGTAAAGTGTATGTCTCAGTGATATCACTGACAAGTAGCATGTTAAGTCTAGTTATAAGTTACCCACTTTCTCCATATATAACTACAATTATATTGCATCCTTATATTTGTTGTGTTATATCCACCAAGATGGATTTCCATATACTTAGGATCTATCACTGGCCTTCACTCAATAGCTTGGAGAAGAATCAGCAAACACTTTCTATAAAGAAACAACTACTTCAGTCTTTGTGGCTCATGTGTTCTCTGTTGCAACTAATCAAGTCTGTAAAAGTATAGAAAAAGACCACATATGATAAAGTGTGGCTGTGTTTATGAACATTGAAATATAATTTTTACATAATTCTTAAAAATAATATTAATCTTCTGATGTTTTCGCTAGTGATTTGTAAATATAATAATTATTCTTAACTCAGGGGTTGTAAAAAAATGTACTGGAAAAACAAAAATATAACTCCTACCCCTAGGAAAATAAACAATCCTTTCAAAGCTCTTAATGCCCAGCAAAAATTCAACACATTAGATTGTGTTAATTTGATTTTATTTTGAGGCTTTTAATTAAGTTTAGCTTTATGATTGCCACAAATTACTGTTTCGCTGTTGATATTTTTAATCAGACATGTATAACAGTAGCCGATTTCTATTGTTATATCTGACATTATTCAATAACAAAGTTTCCACTCACATTTTTGGGCATGTTGCTAGGAGAAGTTATTCTTCAAAGGGGGACATCGTGCTTGGAATGGTGAAAGACAAGAAGACCCTCAACGAGACATATTGACTCAGTGACTGCAGCAGTGAGCTCAAGTGTGTCAGAGATTGTGAGGATGGCAAAAGATAGGACAGGGTTCAGATTTGTTGTTCATAGGATCGCTATGGGTCACATTTGACTTGATGGCATATAACAACAACAACATATTACTATTCAGTGATGATTCAACTTTGTAATCTTTTTCCAGGTTATTTGAGACTCTGCAGTCCTTGTTTTGGTCAATATTTGGGCTCATTAATTTATATGTCACCAATGTCAAAGCCCAGCATGAGTTCACTGAGTTCGTTGGTGCCACCATGTTCGGGACATACAACGTCATCTCTCTGGTCGTCCTCCTCAACATGTTAATAGCGATGATGAATAATTCCTACCAACTTATTGCTGTAAGTTGACTCATGTTATCCCCATATCTGTTCTATAATGTCTTTCCCCTAGCTATTACATATCTAATTATTGTAGGAAATAAAATCCGTCATCTACCAGATTGATAAAAGATGATGGAATTTTAATATGAATGGTTTATTTCAGTAAGTTGCCCACTTTTTCTATAAATAAATACAGTTATATTGTATCCTTGAATTTATTATGTTAAACCTACCAAAATGGATTTCCAAATATACCATGATTTGCATTATATATGATGTGTAGTTATTTTTTTTATCATCATCTATGGTTATAAAATAGGGAGCTCTGGTGGCATAGTGGTAAAGGCCTGCACACAGTCTCAAAGGTACATAACAGTTCAAATCCACCAGCTGCTCCACAGAAGGACGGGCAATCTTCTGCGTGATTAACTACTTCTGAAAACCCTCTGGAGGGTCAGCTATGGATTGGTTCTAACTAGACAGTACACAGCATAGTTATAAAGACTAGAACCTCCATACCAGACAGTTGCTGGCTATAGGAAGAAGTAAATAAAATAAGAATAAAATTAAAAATTTTTTTAAAAGTAGAAAAAAGAAGAAGTATGTGAGATATGACTTAAAAACCAGCAGCTTAGATCTATGCTGTACTTTGGGGGTTTGCACTGTCTGTTTAACTTAAAATTTTGATAGACGCAAACTCCTGCTACCTTGGCAAATACCAGAGTGCCCAGAAAAGAATCTGTCAAGAAAGAAAGCCACAGGTTTTTCAGCTTCTAATAATTTAGGGAAAGCAATGTAGAAATATCCCTAAATATCTAAATAACCCTATGTTTGTTTGTTTGAAACTCTGTCATTCAAACATCATGATTTAATTTATACATTTATTCACATAACAAATATTTTTTTAGTGTAGACTCTATTGCCAGCCACTGTTCTAGGAATGAAGGGCGCTATTACAAAGACCGAGACAGTCATTTAGCCCTTTGAACTTAAGACACTACTGATTTAGCCATTAGTAAACAATAGCAACAAAACCCACAACAACAACAACAAATACCACATGGTGAAAGAAAATTTATATCTTAAGAATTTTATAGTGATACTATAGACAAGTAGCATTTTATAAGCTTAATTAGAAGTTGCTCACTTTCTCCATAAATAACCACAATTCTACTGAGCCCTTGATTCTATTGTTAAAATTACTGGATTTATAAAGTATTTCAAAGGTATAATGAATCATACAGGTTTCATTTTTATGGGACTCTCTGGCCTTATTTATAGGTAAAAGTTCATTAAAAATCTTGTATATCTGAGAAATTTTGACATACAGTACTTAAATATTTGCTTCAGAAGTTCTGTACTCTAGTGAACACATTTCTAAAATGTAGATTCTCTTTTATAGAACATACACATGCACTCACATACACACGAAAGCCTCTAATTATCAGGCTATAGATAGAAAGGCTGCCAAAACGTTGCATCCTGTAAAACTTCAGATGTCTCAGCTTCATCAAGAAGAGAACATTATACAAGAATAGTAAGAAATTTTCTTTTTGCTTCTTTTTGAGTTATTTTACTAGGTTGCTTAATTACAGAGATGAGCATCATTGTGAATCTCTATCTTTATTTAGATCAAACTTTAAAACTACTTGAAAGGTGAACAGACACAGAGAACCAGAGACACAAGTACCTCCCAGCACCCTGTTTCCAGTGTGATGAGCATACCAAAAATGTTCACTTTTACCTGCCTCCGAACAATGAAACTTATCCAAAAATGTTTCTTTCTTTATACTGCCACCCTTACCTAACTAAAATAGCCCATGGGTAACACGAAGCTAAGTGCTTAACCTAAAGGAACCTCAGAAGGCAATTGCTTCTGGAAGGTTATAGCTTGGCAATGCCTCCTGCATAATTGCTTCGTAAAAGTTATAGCCTTCAAAGTCCTATGGTGTGCAGTTCCACTCTGTACACACGAGGTCACCTTGAGTTGGAATTAACTCATTGGCAAGTGGTTCTTGTCTGCTTGCTCTTATCTCAAGGATATGTAAAGTAAAGCATGGGGAAAGAAGAATATGTCATACCTAGAAGAAGGAATCAGCTGTTACAGGCCACTTCTACAGTCTGTCTACTGCTCACTCATTCATTTGTTCATCAGACGTTTCTTGCATACCTAATAATGTGCCAAGCGCATGCTTGCATTTTGTATACAGATAAAAATAGACAAAGCCCCTGCTATGAACAAAAATCTAATAGTGACAAAATCAATTCAGTGTTTAATTTTAGGATTAAGATATTTAACAGCAAAAAAGTACCCAAGTGCAGAAGAGAGCACGATGACTTGCTGTGAGGACAGAGAGGATGCCTTTGGTTGCTAGATCTCAACGTGAGCTTCCTAGAGTGGGAATACCGAAGCTGTTTGGAATGATTTATTGGAATGAGAAGGTGGTATTTGGGTCAGGTCAGAGAATATAGACTTTATTGTCATGAGCTTAGAACTCTTTCTCTCTAGCATTTTCCAACAACTATACACACTGTTATAGACTCTGTCAGCATCTCAAACCAAACAAGAGTCTGTGTTGTGATTAAGAGAAAATAAAGAGGTCAGGAAACTACTTAATTAGACTAAGGTCTAGTATAATGAGATTCCATGAGAACCAAAGAATCAGGGGCAGCATTGCTAGCCATAGGCAAATATTTTTTTTCCCCCAAGCAGTCAACTTTTTATGACCTTGAACCAATTCTATTGAATTGGCTCCATGGCTCCAGCAATTTGCAATTATTATAGCAAAAAATACCTAACTTCTTGATTAATGCAGCACAGTCCATCAGAATCTATATCTTGTTTAAAGAGAAAACAAACTGTTCCTCTTTGCTATGGTAAAAGAGAAAGAATGAAGGGGGGAGAGAAAGAGGAAGAGCGTGGCTTCTGTGCTTCCCATCCACCCATCCATTCAATGGAATATTTGATAAATAACAGTGGAGGCTGTACATTTTTTAGACATGATGATTCTTGTTCAAAGCCCAGTTTGTCCAGTATCTAGACTAAAACCTATAATGCAGATAGTAGACGTGTGTGTGTGTGTGTGTGTGTGTGTACACATACATCTCTGTATAAGCATACAGACATCTGTCTCTCTACATCTATATATCTACCTATGTATCTATCATCTATATCTATCTACCTATCTTCACCAACACATAGCAACAATATTAGAATGAAATGTAATCTGAGATTATTTTTTCCTAAAATCTGGATTCTCTTTTATGTTAGTGGATTGTAGTAAACTACTTTGAATTACCTATGTACCTACCATCTGCAACCTTCTACTTCCCAGATTTTCTGCTTAAACCAGATTTATGGATAATTTAAGAGGCAACTAGCTTCCCTTAATCAAATTACTACAAATGTTCCAAAGTTAATGGTTGTGGTTGAACATAGTGAACGTAATTTAACGTCACTGAATTGTACCAGTGAAGACGCAGAAATAGCAAATGTTCTGTTCCCTATATACTTACCACAATAAAAAGGAATGTTGCTAAATGTTCTCAAGTGGCTAATAAAAAGATTTAAGTCAGAAATGGTGAGGAAGGTAGCCTCAGGTATGCCATTAGCTGATATTTTTTAGTCAAGGTTATATCAAGGTTCAATACTGTACCAAAGAGAGCATTTCCTACTACATTTGTTAGATGAGTTTATGCCTGAAGCCTGAAGGTTGACAAGAATTATCCACCACAGAAACATATCAGAAAAGTTTGCTCCCCTGCCAACATGGGAAGGCTGAGGTAGGAGCATCTGTGAAGGTGCCATTTACCTAGACAGGAGTTCAAGGGATTACATGCGATACTGAGCTTCCATTTCTGGCCAGAACCTAATGAAATAGAGTGACATAAGCCAACACTGCAGGAAGTATGGATTCATACGTCAACAGACAGTCTCAACATAGAATAGCTTTAGATACCTTTTTCACTGAAGAGGGAAAGACAGGAATGACCTAAGAGCTGTGCTTCCTTACCTTAGTAAGCTATCCTCTGAAATGTTTTAGATAATTACCTCTGGAAGTCAATGGTGGTTTTGAAAACTAGTTAATTAATGTTCCAAGAGCCACTCAAAGTCAAGTTACAAGCTCTCAGTGAGGCTTATCTCACCTTATTAACTAAGAACTCAGTCAGCTGTTACCATGTTCTTCTGTTTAGGACCACGCAGATATAGAATGGAAATTTGCTCGAACAAAGCTCTGGATGAGTTATTTTGAAGAAGGAGGTACACTGCCGACTCCCTTCAATGTCATTCCGAGCCCCAAGTCTCTCTGGTACCTGATCAAATGGATATGGACACACTTGTGCAAGAAAAAGATGAGACGAAAACCAGAAAGCTTTGGAACAATAGGGGTAAGAACACGTTATATTTGTCTTACACTGGTGTTTTGTTTTTGTGGGTTCTCCCCCACCCCCACCCCCGCTGTGGACTTGAATATACATCCGCTTATCCTCTTATTTGCATTGTTAGATTCCAAAGACTAAGTCATCATGTGAAAAGCAGCACGGTGTGAAAATAGAGAAAGACCACCTTAGAACACAAAATGTAGAGTAACCACATCATCCCATAACTGCCAACTTCATTCCATAATTGACAAGTCCTTCTGAATCATGAGGTAGCCAAGCTGCCACATAATCTTAACCACCGTGTTGGTTACTGTGGGATCAGCATTCGTAATATGCAAAATAGTCAGCAAATTTGCCTTTCAACTCTTACAACAAAAGTGAAATATCAAAAGATGAGATAGTTGATAAGTGAGGGGTAGGGATATTTATGGCCACTATTGCATATTTTATGCATCTGAAAGTTGGACAATGAATAAGGATGACCAATAAAAGAATCAATGTCATTGAGTTGTGGTGTTGGTGAAGCGTAATTGATGTCCCATGGACTGCCAAAATAAGGAACAAATATGTTTGGACAACGTGCAGCAAGAGTGATCCTTAGAAGTGAGGATAGTGAAATTGTGTCTCATATACCCTGGGCATATTGTGAGGAGGTGCAAGTCCTTGGAAAAGGGCATTATGCTTAGTAAGGTGGAGGGTTGGTAAAGGAAGAGAAGGCTCAGTCCCAGCTCATGGCCACCCTACGGACTGCAAAGTAAAGTTGCCCCAGTGGGTTTTGTTGACGTAAACTATATAGAAGTTCTCCAGACCCTTCTCATATGGAGCCACTGAATGAATTCAAAATATCAACCTTTACGTAAATAACTAATTTCAAACCACTTGTACTGCCTCCAGTTACACTACACACTGTTATTTTAATTGTACCCAAATGTTGTTGTTGTTGTTGGTAAGTGCCAGTGAGTCGCAGGCAACTCATAGCGACCCTATGAAGGAGAGTCCTCTGCGCTTGGGTGTCTCTCATCCACTCTCCAGATTCATAGGGTTTCCAGAGGCAAGCTATTATGGAAGTGAATGCCACTCCTCCTTCCAATGTACCCAAATAGATCCTTCCAAAATAATCAAACACCCAAACACCCACACAGCAATACTTAGAGAACTACACACCTCTCTCTTTGCACTTTTATTTCTATTATTTTTCAGTACCATTACCACTTATGGTATTTCACATTGTTTCTCCCTCTAGAATGTAAGCTTTCGGAGGGCTTAGCTTTTGCCCTTAAATGTACTTCAACTCTGAACAAATTCATATGTAACAGAGCAAACTGATATCCAATCCCGTACATCCTCAAGGTTGTTCATCTGCTCTAGTCCATTGTTGCAGCCACTGTGTATTTTGAGTGCCTTCTAGTGTAGGAGACTCATCTTCCAACATTATATATGCCAGTATTCTGTTGGGATCCATCGGGGTTTAATTGGCTAATTTTCCAAATTGTATCACCAGGTCTTTCTTCCTAGTCTGTCTTATTCTAGAAACACTACTGTAGCTTGTCTATCATGGGTGACCTGACCCTGCAAGTATTTGAAACGTTGGATGACACTGCCCTCAGTATCATAGCAACATGGAAGTCACCACAATATGACAGACAGGTGATGGCCCAAGAGGGCAGGAAGCCTATTTTAATCACTTGATTTCTCTAGTGCTTAGAACAGGTCCCTGAATGGAGCATATGCATCATATGCATTTGCATAAATGTCTCAATTAACTAATTGAATCAATATTATCATTTTAATATCCTATACCAGAAAATTTATAATGGGTTTAACTGCTCAACATTTGGCTTCCACTCCAATCTTATGCTAGCAATTTCCATATCACTTTTTTTTAGCAGATAAAGGACATTTATTCAATTATAGAAGTGACCAAGGGATTCAAGGTTGCAACCCATCCTTGGCGCATATGTCTTGACCCACCCTTTTCCCTACTCCAACATTCAACACCTCTCCCTTCTCCATATCACTTTTTATTACAAGAAGTTGTGTTGAAAAGAAAAACAAATTGAGAACTGCTCAAAGCTTTTGTCCTGGAATTCTGCTTGATTTTCTTTCCTTTATAAATATCTTTTATGATGGAAACATTCTAGAAATTATGGCAAAATATACAAACTCAGACCTTTGTTTTAAACAAATCACTGACTGAGAACAGTCATTCCTTCTTTCTCATTTTATTTCCTAGTTTTTAAAGTTCTCTTACTGATATTTTGGGAATTAACAAGCTAGAAGTCATTAATCACTTTGATCTCTCAAAGAAATTGTCCTATATTCTAACATGCCTTTACTTTACACCATGGACCTAAATAAGCATCCCAAGTCCTATTTGTATTCTGAATACTTCTCCTGCTCTCAATCCTGTCCTTTCTCCACTTAGCTGGGACTTGGGGTGAGCACCAGTGTCATCAAAGCCAGCGAATGCTCTGTAAATGTCCTCTTTACCTTAGAGGACAGACTATCTGCATTTGTACGCTCTTTGTTGAGTTTCCATCATTTAATGTATAGGGAAAGAAATGATATATAACGTTTATGAAGAAGCTCTATCTCTAAAAGGCAGAAGTGAAAAGTAAATTAAAGTCTTAATAGAAGAATTAAGAGTGCCAAAAAGCCTTTGATTTTCCTATAAATTAATTTCAATTTTTATTAACTCCTATTAGTTCTTTGTGCAGACATGTAAAGACAAGACATGCATATTTATTAAAGGATAAGACTGAAGTATCAATCACTTTTATTATATAGACAAGGCATGGCTTAGAAATAGCATTGCACTTCAAAGAGACCTTAGAAGTAATTCGGTTTAATCATGTCCTTTAATAGAAAACTTGTTGGCCAGCTCTCCAGACCCAAGCCATTGTATCTGCCATCTGGCCGGCACCACAAGGTAAAAAAGGGCCTCAGAAGGACCTCCCTTCAAAATCTACTCCACCAAGTGCATGCTTCAGTGTGGCCTAAAAGGTTATTGGGAGCAGCAATGCTCACACCCCTAGATGCCAACAAATCCTTGCCCAGCCTTCAAGCAGCCAGGCCGCTGGCGAACCAACTTCCCTTGTTGTAAAGCTCATCCTCTGCACCTACACGGAGAACAAACTGATGGCCACCCAGCAGTCCTGCCTCCTGAACTCCTCAGTCTAGTGGATGAGGACTGTGGCTGCCTGGACTTGAGGACCCCAATTACCATAGCCGAGCCCACGTTGACTATAATGGTAGTGGGTTGTCCAGCAAGTGTCGACAATGCTCAACATCATCTGGAAACTACACATACTGTACCATCCCCAGCCTTCTGGAAAAGTAGAATGGGCAAATGACCTTCTCAAGGACCAGCTGACCAAACTTAGCCTTGAGCTTCCCAGGGAGCCATCTCCCAGCCTTTCTTCTCCATCCTCATGATGACACCTCTTAGCAGGAAGCAGCCAGAGAGATTGTGTCACCTCTATATAACCAAAAGGAATTCACTGCCCCTTGCTACCCCTCTCTGGCCTGGGAGAGCAAACCTTGCCCAA